AGCTGCGGGCTCCTCTCCCTTCCCCTCAGGCAAACAGGGTAGGTAGGTCTACAGATTCACTTTACCACATGGCCCCCATGGCTTGCTTGGAGGGGGCCTGAAAGCTGAAGATATATGTGCATTCACACCCCGGAATGGTGCAAGCATTCACAGCTACCTGAGTGAGCCCAAGCCTCAATCGTATGCTGCCTTCTCCCACCCCTCCCTGTCTCAACTCTGGCTCCAGGAAGAGAGAATATTCACAGATCACCACAGAGCCTTTTATGGGCCACAGCTACCATCCAAGATGCTGGTGAATAACGCACAGCAATGACCAGAGGCCTGCTTGTGGTCCTCCTTCAGCACACAGGACATGGCAACAGGCTAGAAACCTGGGTACAAACTACTGCCTCTTCTGCCCTGTTCCACATATGGCCCTGCATCGATCTTATTTTTGCCTTTGCCCAGAAGAGAATGACACTCCCCTTCCTCCCCAACCAGGCACAGCCTAGGTTAAGGCACTTGGTATATAGTCTGGCAATCATTACAGCCATGTGTCTGTTGTATCCCTACCACTGAATAAGGTCCTTGGGGAAGCTGCCATGTATCAAGTGTTCAGTAAATACGCAAGGAGTGAGGTGAAAAAGGTGAGAAGGGGAGAGGGAAAGTCAAAGAGAATGAAGTTAAGTGTTTACTATTTCTACATTTCCTTACATTTTAGTATTTACTGTATTCAGCTGGAAATAATTTTTAAATGGCAATAAAACATATTACACATTTTTAAAAATCTGCTTTTTGGCCAGGCGTAGCCCTGTTATCTCAGCCCTTTGGAAGGCCAAGGTGGGAGGATCACTTAAGGCCAACAGTTCAAGGCTGCAGCGAACTATAATTGTGCCACATACTCCAGACAAGACACTGTCTCAAAATAAATAAATAAATAAAAAGTCTGCTTTTATGTGTTACTCATGGGAAGTCGCTCGAATTCCATGTGATCTCAGGAGATTGTATCTCTGAGACCTATGAGCTGAAGGTATTCCTGCCCCACAATTACACTTAGACACATGCCCCTCCACCCCAGGCATGACTCTCAGCATCTCATTCCTGGGCCGTCTTAACCTGTCCTTCTATCAGTCAACCAACAACTCCAGGTGAGACCTCCTCTACAGGAGGAAGGCTTCTTTTCTAAGTCAGGAATCTTAAAAACAAGATTACCGGTGTTGAACAAGAAAATGGGTAGGAGAGTGTGAGGGAGGCTGAAGAAAAGGTCCTTGTCTGCCACTTTCCTTTGAGCATATTGGTTCTCCTTTGGTGTTTTTTGAGTATCTACACATGGTTCTAAGTACATAACCAGTATTAAATATCATCCTCCATGACTCTTTACAAATCAAGAACTCAAAGTCAAGGAAGGAAGGAAAGAAGATATTTGGACACAGGACAGATACTCGCTTTTCTCTCAGTCACAAGGACCTCAAATTAAGCCTCTGAATTGAGGTTTCATGTTTCATATAAGTACCTGAGTAGATACATAAGAAAAGAAGGTAGAAAAGTTCCAGCATCAAAGATAAATAAGATGAATAGGTGTGACAAATTACTTTAAATAGAAGAGATAAACTGAGAAAAGAGCTGTGCTAGGTCTCCTAACTGTCCAGGTTCCTCCTAACTGCATAAGGGAGCAACAAGGGGCTGAGAAATTGGCAGGTAAACCAGGAGTACTTGCTCTAGGGCCAGTACACTGGCTGCCCACATCCCCTCATGTTCTCCATGAGGAGTTGAGAGTCCTATCACACTAGTGACACTGACAACCATACTCAACAGGAATGGTGGCAGGGAGGGGAACTGAAGGCAGTCATTGAGGGCAGGAACACTACATGGGGAAGAGAGAATCCTACAGCATCCCCACCTCAAGAAGACTGCAAAAGAGCAGTGAAACTCCCTGGGGCCAGGAGGAGCCCAGGAAAAGGGTAGAGTCTCAACAGCAGCTGAAGACACTAAGCAAATGCTACACCAGGCAAGAGAGGACTCTGGCTGACATTACATTATAGCCCTTTTGGAAGATCACTTGAGGCCAGGAGTTCGTAACCAGCCTGGGTGATAAAGTGAAATCCTGCCTCAATATACATAACACACATATATTATAGCCCTTTTAGCTTTTCAGAGTATTAATATTTTCATATAGATTATTTCAGATCACCTTCGCAATTATCTAGTAAGGTCTGTAAAGGAAATAGTATTCACATTTAATATGAGGAAACTCAGGCTGGGAGAGGGAATGATTTGCCTGAGGCCACACTGGTAGTTGAAGGCAAAGCAGAAGGCATTTCCTAGACTGCTCTAAAGAACAGACCTTGAGGCTGGGAGGCAATGTCTTTTAAGACTGAGAAAATGGATTAGTTTACTGAAAGGTTCAAATTCATGGTCACATTGAGAAGAAATGGACCTAATAATGAGGTAAAACCGACTGCAGTATATTCTTTAGGTAAGAGAAAAAGGGGCAGAGATAACACTGGCATACACTCTGGTCATCTAATGTAAAGAGAGAATCTCAAACACAAACTATTTTTTAAAAGATTCCAAGATCTCATCTGTGGAGTTAGGGCAGGTGTCCCCAAACTTTTTACACAGGGGGCCAGTTCACTGTCCCTCAGACCGTTGGAGGGCCGCCACATACTGTGCTCCTCTCACTGACCACCAATGAAAGAGGTGCCCCTTCCTGAAGTGCGGTAGGGGGCCAGATAAATGGCCTCAGGGAGCCCGCGGGCCGTAGTTTGGGGACGCCTGAGTTAGGGGAAGGCCGTCTTAAATAATTATGAGTCAGGAGCTGACAGAGTGAAAGAATCATCCCAAGGCTGAGGTGGGAAGATTGCTTGAGCCCAGTTCAAGACCACCCTGGACAACATTATGAGATCCCTCTCAAAAAAAAAAAAAAAAAAAAACCATCCCAGGGTCAAGAAGAGGACATGAAGACCCTGAAGAAGACCGTGAAGAAAACATAAAGCCCAGGTCTTCACCAAGGATGAGACACATCAAGGACCTAGCGGAGGGTCTGGCACAGAGCAAATGACTAGTAAATGTTAGCTGCTAGTAGTAGCAGCAGTCATATACTAGCAATAGTAATGTTAGAAAGCTAGGTCCTTCCCCAAAGCCAGTCTTCCAGTTGTGGCCAAAAACCCAAGCTTAGTTTACTGTGATCATAAATGCTTTCCAATGATGAGGGCAGACTCAGTCCTCAATCCTTTATTGACACCATCTTCAATAGTTGCTGTGCCCTATTCTGCTAAGGGGTAGCCTAACATTCCAGAGCAGGAGGCTGGAATAGAGAAATGTAGGGTAGGGGTGCAGGGCAGAGCCTGTTTGTGTTTTGGCCTCAATCCATATGCAGGAAGCATACGGACCATCTCCAGCCCTGAGAGCTCTCAACCACCACCTCCACTCCAGTCTCCCGAAACCAGCAGAAGTCCACAAGCAACCGCAACCATTAAGACAAAGTCACTAGCACACCTGTCACTTCTCACTGGCCATAGTACTTTCCTTCTATCCAGCCCACGGATGCCCAGGTCTGGCTAATTGGCTTTCAAAAGGGCAGCATTAGGAAGAAAATGAGGAGGAGACAAAGCTCGATGGCTCCATTTTCCACCCTCTGCTCCCACACACTTAGCTTCTCCACTCCCTGCTGGTCTTTCCTTCCCTCTTTCCTACGATTGCTAGAATGATTTGTTTTGAACAGCGACAGGTTTATAGGTTAGCCGACACCTCTGCTCTGTGGAATTTTAATTAACTTCTCCCATCGTCAATATGCTAAGGAACGGGGTCTCCATTCTCTGGGGTCAGCAATGTGTTTCAGGTCCTGCTATATCAGCCGTCAAATTGAAGAATTAATGACGTGGCTAATCGGCTCTAATTCTTAGGAAGAAAAAAATTTGAAAGGGAGTTGTGGAAGGGAGCAGAAGGAGGGGTGCAGGCTCCATGGGGTGAGAAGAAAAAAGCTGAAGGGCCTAAGCAAAGTGGGTAGGGCCAAGTCTCTTATAAAATAAGCGAGTGACTTAAAGCTGGAGGGTGGCAGCCCTACAGCTTTCACATTTCCATTTGAGTAGGGAGTGAAGGGTAGGGAAGTGGATGAAGACCCTAGGAAAATATTGTGGTACAACAGGTACAGCAAAGTCTATGTACCCTGCTGGGGAGGAAAGGGATTGTCTTGGTTCCAGAGGGCCTCAAAAGTGGGAGTCGGATGCAAACCTAACTTGTTCATAGGTAAGGTAAGAGAACTAACAGTCAGGACCAGGTACAGTGGTTCATATACTTTGGGAGGCCAAGATGGGAGGATCACTTGAGGCCAAGAGTTCAAAACCAGCCTGGTCAACATAGAAACACCCCATTTCAAAAAATGAAATAAATTAAAGAGAGAGAGAGAGAGAGAGAGAGAGAGAGAGAGAGAAGTAACTGTCAGGCTAAAGGCTAGGGTAAATCCATCATCAAAATCTCACACTTCTGCTACAATAATCAATGTCACTACTTCTCCACACACGTCTTTGTTTGAGGACCCAGATGGATCTGGGCCCCAAGCCTCTCCTGATGACTTAAGTCTATAAGGGATACTCCAGAGGACATTTTCCAAGGAGAACAAAGCAGACATGTGAGTTGTGAGAGTAAGTTGGATGCTGTCAGCTCCGAGGGGTGGTGAGAGGCCTCTGCTTTGGAAACAACCCCAGAGGACAACTGTTTCAGAAGGGACACTCCTGGTAACGGCTGGACTTTTTATCATATCCTCATATATTCCTATATTCTTTCCTTAATATTTCTGAGGTTAGATGCTTAGGAAATTCACATTTAGAAGTTTATCTCAATCCCACGCATATATGAAGTGACCTAAACACCTCAAATCTCTGGAGGATTAAAAAATCTCCAAGACAGTGGCTCAAAGCAACCTAGAATACACAAGTGGAAGATTTTCTAGCTCATCTGATCTAGTAAAATAAAAGCATTATTATACAAGAGAAAACCACATCCAAATATGTCTCCCTTACCTGAGTAATGGGCTGATAGCAATGGACCAGACTCGGTCTTCAGTCTGGATGGTGTGTAGGCACTGCCCCAGTCGGCCTGAGGCCAAAGGCCACACCTGGAAACAGGAGAGGAGATGCTCTCATTGGCATTGCCTGGGATCAGTGGGGAGGAGAGGTGCTCTGGGAGGGGTGATTACTGGAGGTAGAGAAAGGGGGCATCTTTCCTGCCCTGCACACACAGAGCTCAGGTATCAGCAGAGGGCCCTCTGCAGCTTCTGGCTCACCTACCCACCCAGATAGGCCCTAGCTCTCCATCCTAACCACCCTCTTTTACTTCCACTGACAGCCCCCACTTACCCGGCAACTTTATATCGGGGAATCAGAAGTTCCACATTCCTCAGCTGAGACTTGACTGAGAAGAAGTGGGTGGGTGGGGCTTGCCTCTTTTGGCAGCTTTCCTATATTTGTGGATTTTCCTTTCTCCTATCTCTCACCAAGATTTTACTCTGGAGAGGTAGGCAGAGGGAGGAAGATCAAGGCACAGTATGGGGGGACAGCAATAGAATTAGAGAGAGAAGTAAAAAGAAAGATGCAAGGGAAGGAAAGAATGGAAGAAGAAGAGAGACTTCCAAGTGGGAAGGTGGTATGTTGTTGTTTGTTTGTTGATAATGCCCAGGATCCAATACTATTCACATCAGCAGGGAATTTAGCACCTAGTGTCACCAAAAGCAGCAGAAAAGCTTAACTCTGTTAAGCTTCCATATCTCCTACAGGTTAAAAATATTGCTTGGAGCACATTATCTGGTCCCTATCAGTCAGGAATGTACATTAGCAGCCACTCTGGGCTTAACTCTAATCAACACTCACAGAGCCCTCTCAGCAGTCAGTGCATTTAGAAATCTCCCATTAAGCACAGGGCTCCCCCTCACCTCACCCTACCCTAGATGACACACACAGGGACATAAGCCTCTAACCAAACAGAAAGGAAACCTCGAACGTACAGGACTATCCCGAGACAGCAGCCACAGAGGGATCCAGAGGCAGCCAGATGGATCAATGACCTCTTAAGGTCCCAGCAGTGCTATAAGGGGAACACACAAAACTCAGGCAGGACCTTAGATGGAAGAACTTTAAAGAAAACATTCCTCGAGTTTAAAGGGTAGGTGATGGAGCGGGGGTGGTCCTGCCTTCTTAGGGTCACATGATAACTCTTCCCTATAAAAGGAGAAAGTGTTTCTTAGAGTTTGTGTGTATGATGGGGGTGGGGGATGGGATGATTGTGTGAGTTACTTTTCCCAACACAGTGAAAAGAAAATAAACGTAACAAGAAGATCCTAAATGAGGAGGGACAGAACACAAAGGTAAACACCACAACTTTTCCTGAGTGCCATGATTCAGGCCTACTCTTTGGACTCCATAGTCAGTCCCCTTTGGCAATAACTAGATACATTTTCAATGTACTCTTTTGGGCAGCCCAGCTAAGAAGAGAGCTTTGCCTTTTACCTGACACAAACTCCCTGGGAGGCAGATTCTTGCTGAAAGGGTGAGGAGACACTAAGGACTCCGATTATAAAATCTATGGGGACAGCCTAGGCCTGAATTCACTAATGTCCTCCATGGAAAGGGAAGATTGATTCCTAAATTCTGCAAACCACAAAATAAGGTTCCTGGTCTCCAGGAGTGGCTTAGGAAGCATGCCACCAATTCTGAGCATGATCTTAGGAAAGTGGCCCTCCTGGCTTGGCCCAGGAGCACATCATCCTCAAGAAACATGAGATTCCATCCTGGCACCTGAGGGACAGGAGTTGACAACAATATGCTGATCCTATCTTTGCCCTCCATGGCCAAATTCAAAACAGATCCATCCCTAGAAAAGATTCAGTGGGAGTAGACATTTATACATTTCTTTTAAAAAGCAGACTGGTGATATGCACCACAACCTTTAAAATGACCGAAGCCTTTAACTCAGTAATTTTGTTGCTGAAAATCTATCCTAAGAAAATAATCCTAAAACAAAGAAAAACCTAAATGGTAAAATATTACCTGCATCCTGCAGTTGCAGAGAAAGCATGCATAGGATTTGGCATCTGACCAATCTGGATTTGAACCCTACTTGTTATTATTATCTTTGATCTTAGGGATAACTTCTTAGCTCCCGTTTCCTCATGTGTCTAATGGGAAATGATGCCTATCACAGGGTTATAGTGTGGAAAAGTGGAGATAAGCATAAAGCATCTAGCACAGCAGCACAGTATTTGGCAGGTATCAGGCAAACAATAATGGTGGTTCTTATTACAATAAATCTTCCCTTCTAAGCCAGATGTAATCTGATCTCTCCACCCTCTAAACTTTCTGGCTCTTTCCCTAGAGCAGGCATCCCCAAACTTTAACACAAGGGGCCAGTTCGCTCTCCCTCAGACCGTTGGAGGGCCACCACATACTGTGGCCCTCTCACTGACCACCAATGAAAGAGATGCCCCTTCCTGAAGTGCGGCAGGGGGCGGATAAATGGCCTCAGGGGGCCGCATGCAGCCCGTGGGCCATAGTCTGGGGATGCCTGCCTTAGAGCTTTATACTTCACAGTCCCAGCCACTTCCAATCAGCTGCATGGCCAGGTACACACATCTCATCTCACCCTAAGGATAAGAGGCTGTGTCTTCTTTACCTCTGAAGAGGCCAGGTGCCTCACACACAGTAGGCACTCGTAAGAAAGAATAGAGAAATAAAGGAGGATATGAAGGAATGGTTAGTACCAGCCCAGGCTCATTAAGAACATAAGTTACCATCTGTTCATATCTCAAGCTAGGGCTGGCCCCACTAAAGCCCACAGACACAATCCAAGCTAAGTAAGTCACAGTAAATGTGAAACTGGGCTTGTGGGCAGGGGAAGGATAACTTCTAGGCCCATTTGCTGACACACCAGCAAGCATTTTGCTCCTGTTAGCACTATGGAACCTAGATACTAGGAAATACACAAGACACTATTGGGCCTCCTGCACTACCAACCGAATTGTCAGCAAAGTTCCTGCAGCAACCCTAAAAGACCAGGCCTGTGCAGGCCCTGGCTAGGGCTGTTGGACACAGGCCTTGAGAACTTAGGGTTCTCTGGACAGTCCCTAGCTCAGACGTCTTGCAAAGAGATTGTTTTACTTCCCTTTACCCAACAAAATAAATATCTTTCCTAAAATACAGTGCATATTCGGGGAACTCCCAAAAATAGATGGTTACAGGCAAATATTGTAATTCTTATGAAGGTTCAGGTGTATTAGAAGCCTGGAGAAGCAGCTGTAAAATTTCAGATGCCACTGAAAAGAAATGATGTTTCAGTTATAAAAGACAAACTGAGAACACTAATGTGGAAATGGCTCAGGATAACAAAGGTGGCTGGATGCAAAGATAACAACAGAGAGGAGGGAAACCCAGGCAGCATCTGGAGAGCCAGGAAAGACGAGTTGGCGGAGAGGTCAGAGGGGAGCCACAAAACAGCTGACCAGCTTTCAGGACCAGAGAAGAGGATTCTGTCACTGACCTAAAAGAAATCCTCAGAAGAAAGAAGAAGGACTGTGGTGCCAATTTTAGAAGGAAGTATCTATGTTAGATCTTTTAAAAAATCTAAGATACTAAATAGGGCTACATCAGTACTTAAAACATGACACTAACCCAATACCTCAAATAAATTTGCTATTATTCTTCACCTGGAAGCAGTCCATGCCCTCAGATTGCTACCTGTGGTTATAAAGCTTGGTTTTATACTGCTCTGGGTATCAGGCCACAGAGAACAGAAGAAAGAGGTGTCACTGAAAAGGAGGAACTTGGGGAAGCCTGAAGCCATGACAGGAAGATGCTAGAATAAGACAGGAATACCTAGGTCACACATGCCACAAAAGATTTCTATGCAAATTGACTTTTAAGCAGTATAACAGGTTTAGGCCAGGATCTTTTCAAGGAATGGTACGAAGACAGTGACCAATCAGAAGCCTAAGTATGAAGAAAGGTAATAGGAAGCAAGTGACAGGAAATTCAGTTTCGTGTTGGTTCAAAAGATTTGCTGGATTTTTCTCAAGCTTTCTGTGCTTCTGTTCATTCTCTCTGACAGAGTACAAAGTAAGGAAGAAAATAGTAAAGGGAGGAGAAACTTCCATAAAAAGAAGGGAACATATTTAGCCCTTCTTTTTACATAAATTAACAATATTTCTATATGGATGTGTAATCACCAGAGGGTACATGTAGTCAGAGAAGTTTCTGAGTAAAGATTGCAATTTCCCTCTCCTGAGTCCTCTCCCTATGTGTTTTAGAGGCCCATTTGCTGACACACCAGCAAGCATTTTGCTCCTGTTAGCACTATGGAACCTAGATACTAGGAAATACACAAGACACTATTGGGCCTCCTGCACCACCAACCGAATTGTCAGCAAAGTTCCTGCAGCAACCCTAAAACCCAGGCCTGCGCAGGCCCTGGCTAGGGCTGTTGGACACAGGCCTGGAGAAAAATTTCTCTGTCTCCCAGGTGGGAGCCTATCTGACCCAGACATAGAGGAGTTCATGAAGTAAGGGTCATGCTATTTATCAGCCCCACTTTCTTTTATGCTTTGGTGGATATCTGTGGACCGGGCAATTTGGCAAAGACGCAACAAACACCACCTCTCTCTCATCGTCTCTACTGCTTACTGACCACATCACTCTCCAGAGAAGCAATGAAAACACATTTTAATTATCAGCCTGATTGCTTATAAACAAGGTGGTGAAAAATTAACCTCCCTAAACAGAGAGCAAGCAAAAGGAGGGAGATTTTAAAATAAAATATTAGGGTCAGAACTCAACCCACAAACTTGAGGAAACGCAACTCAGGGAGGAAAAGCTGCCAGGTCCTCTGTTTTTGAGTTCACGCCACATTGCAAGTAAGTGGCAACCCTCCCAGCCACTGTCCACTCCTTTCCCAGTCCAGCTGGCAGGGACAACTATTGGCATGGCAAGCTGCATGCCAGAGGCACATAAGTGAGTCCTTTATTGTGTCATTTTCTCCCCTGCCCCCAGCCAATGCTCTCAGCCAATCCTGGGACTCGGGGCTCTATCCACCCTACTCCCTATAGACAGGAGGGAGTAATAATATGTAAGGGGGAGACCACCTCACCTTGGCTGTCCTGTCCCTGGAGCCACTCACAATGATGCCCCCTTTGCAATCCACACAGTTCACCTCCTGTTCATGAGCCGAGTACTTGACAGTGAAGGTGCTGTGAATCTTGTGAATGCCAATCTTCCCATCTCTAGGAGAGAAATAAGGAGCCGACCCCCCAAAAACCAATTATTCTCTCTGTAGAAAGAGAACAACTCTCCAGAAACAGCCCAAGTCTCCAATGACATCCAAATTTGCTAAGCATTTGGCAATTCAGCCCAGTAAGATGCTGAGTTTCTAGATACCTTTACTTCTTCAGCACATTTGGGGCTGAACAGAGCTGAGAGACAAAATAAATTTTCCCCTGGAGAAGATCAAAACCAGCTTCACTCTTCATTAGAAGCTCTTACTGTTTTCCTTCTCCAGCTAACCCTATTAACTGTTTTTGGTAAAATCTCTCTGCTTTAAATGGAAAACCCTTCTGGTCTCCCTCCTCATCCCTTTGGAGTTAAGACAGAAAAGTCAGAGGCAGGCAGAATGTCCCTGAAGAATAAGATGGAAAAGGGTGGAAGGAAAAACCTGCAGCACTTACCCTCCTGCACTGACAATATGTGAGTTGGCCAGCACAAAATGGCAAACATCCTCATCATGCCCAGCAAAGACTCCCAGAGGCCGACGGTTCAAGCTGGCACCATCTGGACGGAACTGGTAGGCCAGGATGAAATTAGCCTGAGATATGTACAGAGAATCATCCTCTAGCTGCATCCAAGGCATCTGACTAGAATGATGGAAAAGAAAATTTAAAAGTTACCAAGATACAGTATGAAAACTCAACTCCAATCTTTGAACAGACTAGCCAATCCCCAACTTAGCAAGGATAATCAACAAGGTAATTATCTATACTTGATACCCTCCTTCAAAATTACCTACCCCTCAGCTACCCTCAGAATACTAGAGTGACTGAGTTTTGTGGTGATCTAATCTTCCTTGGACTTTCTAAAAGAGACTCAAAATTGAAAGACCAACTAAATACCACTATAATTGGAGAATACTTAATATTTCAATTACTGGCTACCTGGACTTCTCATGGGTAGACAGAGCTTACAAAATTCAATGGTCAAGGGGTAAGAAGGATCAAAAAAAAAATCTTCAGCCAGGAACAGTGGCTCATGCCTGTAATCCTAGAACTTTGGGAGGCCGAGGCAGGTGGATCACCTGAGGTCAGGAGTTCAAGACCAGCCTGACCAACATGATGAAACTCTGTCTCTACTAAAAACACAAAAATTAGCTGAGCATAGTGGCACACCTGTAATCCAAGCTACTCAGGAGGCTGAGGCAGGAGAATACTTGAACTGGGGAGGCGGAGCCTGCAGTGAGCCAAGATGGTGCTACTGCACTCAAGCCTAGGAAACACAGGGAGACTCTATCTCAAAAAAAAAAGAGAGAAAGAAAGAAAGAAAAGAAATCTTCTAGCCAGGTGAAATAGCTTTCTTTCATTCTGCATCATCACTGATTTAAAGTATAAGTGGGAAGTTTCAAGGTTCTAGGACTCCCATACATACCTCTTTCACAATAGATCAGTTAAAGTATGATGGAGAAAAGAGTAGAATAAACCCTGGGAAGCCCCATTCTCTTGTTCTGTTAGAGCTACGGGGCCATTTATAAGTGAAAGGAATAAAGCCATTTAGGAAAGGATGCTAAAGTACTGATTAGATACCCAGATTCTCACAGGGATATCTACATTTCTGTATTAGAGAATAAGTGTGGCAATGGAAAAACACAGCCCCAGAGCATTCTGCTACAGTTCAGGGGCTACAGAAAAAGTCAGCTCTCACAGGCAACTGATAAGAGAAATCCACAAATAAAGATTTCCTCTACAATCTGACAGGAGAAAGAAAGGCCCACAGGCAAGTCCTGTGGCAGGGAATGAGCCTTAAGAAAAAAGAAAACTCTGTCAGATACTAGCCTCTCTGGTGGAAACTAAGCCCCTTTCCCAAGGTGGACATCCCACCCATCCTATTCTACATAGGGGTCCTGGAGTTACCAGGTCCCAAGAAAAGTACAGGGACAGTTGATTCATCCCCATGAACAGAGCCACCATCTCCTATTGCCAAGCCTGTCTGAGCAAACTGGGCTGTGTTTCTTCCCCAGACTCAATACAAGCGTCATGGGAATGTGGAAAAGTTCTGCAAATTGACTTGACGGGCCATTAAATGCAGCTTAGACTTTGTAGTAACTGAGTTTCTGCTCATGAGGTTTTTACAAGTGTGTGCATATATTACATGGAACATGTGTAGAGTGTGTACAGATGCCTGCTTTCTCACTCATTATGCACATTCCTCTTCAACATCCCCTTTCGTGAGTGTGTGGTACACTCAAGTGGGCAGCAAACAGAGAGGGTGGGAATTTTTGTGCTTAGAGCCATCTGGTAAACAGCCATTTGCCTAGGACAAGAAACCAGGTTCATGCCAGGTGAACAGTGGAGAATCCCAGGGCAGCCTGGTAACTGTTTTGTGTTTATTTGCCAAACTGTTTGAAACTAGCCCCAAAAGGCAAATGTGGGAAGCAGAGGGTAAAGACCTTCATCATAAAAACCCATCTTTCTCTCCTGTAGTTTCTTTACCATTACCATCACTACCACCACTACCCATTACCACATAATTCACAGCATCTGATGCCAGTGAAACCAGTAGAAACTGGACACAAGCAAGAAAGAAAGGTTCATCAGATGAGAAGGACTGCCTGTGTCTTCGGCACAGGTACAGGTCATGCCGATATGTGGACTCCCGATTTTCCCTAACCATTGCAACCAATCAACAAGGAGTAATTTTTTGGTAGCAAGTCAAATAACAACTGTGAAATCATTTAGCATCAATGAAGCATAAAAATCGGTGCCATTAGCAGTGCCACGGGCATTTTCTAAATTTCCTGACACTTGCTCTAAGCTCTCACTCCTGTAACACATGTATCCAAACCTTTAGATCCTAACCTTCCTTTTAATATAGTAGGGGAGAGGACCCAAGGAAGCTAAGAATGAAGAAGTAACCCCATAAAGTAGAAGATTTAAAGAAAAATATTTGTAAAATAAGATGAATTGGGACCTTGATTTCATTTATTTCCTTTGATGGTGTAAGTTAACAGGGGTTACCTCTGAGTGGTGGAGTTACAGGTTAGTTTTATTTTCTTCTTTAGAATTTTCTTTTTCTTCAAATTTCTACAATAAACATTGATTTATTTATAATCATAAAAAAAAATGTCATTTTTAAAGTACATTTCTTATATTCCCCCATTGTAATGTGAAAAAAGTTGTCCTGATGCCCCCTTTGTGGTATTCAAAGGCTCAACAGTGCCACACCACCGAAGATAACCCCATTAGCCTCTAGGTAGGACCAGATATTTTTACTTTGCATTATGCTTTTACGTCCCAGATAGCTTTAAAAAAAAGTCCAGAGGCTACTTGCCTGCATCTCCACTTCAGCAGAATCCCCTCTCGGCAGCGCCCCAGTCTCCAGTTCTGAGACACCTTCACCCGTTCCTTCACTGGGACACTGGTCATCCTATGTCCAGACAGAACAGATAATCCAATCACTACAACTTATTGCCAAGCACAGAAAATTCAGGGCATTCAGAATACAAGTAAACAGATTAGGAGACCAGGAAGGAGTAACTGTTCTCTCTCCATATTTGACTAACCAAGAAAGCCAATGAGAAAAGCCTGTCCTTTAAACTATTAAAAATGTACACAGTGATACCAAATGAATCTAACGAAGAATGGATGACAATTAATCCTGGAACCACTGGATATCCAGATGGAAAAAAAAAACTATGAAATGAACCCTGACCCCTACCTCACACTATACAGGAAATGTAATTCAAAACAGATCATAAACTTAAAATCTAAAACTATAAAGCTGCCAGAAGAAAATATATAAAAATATCTCTCTAAGAAGGCAGACACAGACTTCTTAGGACACAGAAAGCAAAAACAGAAAATAAAAATCCAGTAAGTCAGACTCATCAAATCCAAAACCTCCATTCACCAAAATGAATACACAAACCATAGTCTGGGAGAAGATTCACAGAATGTATATCTGACAAACAGTTTGTATGCTGATGAGGAAGTCTTCTGTGTATCTGTTCATATATTTTTGGAAGACCAGTAAGAAACTCTCCTATAGTGTTGGTGGGAAAGCAAAACAGTACAGCCATTTTGGGAAAAGGTCTGGCAGTTTATTATAAATCTAAACATATATGTACTCTATGACCTAGCAATGACCTTAGAAAAACAAAAAGACTGACACAAGGATGGTCATAGGAACTTTGGTTATAATAGCCCAAAATGGTAAACAGCCCAGGCATCCAGGAGAATGGATAAACACACTAGGGTAGGTTCATGTAATGGAATACTACTCAGCAAAAAAAGGAAAGAAGTAGTGATACACACTGTAATATGGATGAATCACAGAAACATCATGTTGAATAAAATAAATCTTACACAAAAGAGATCATAGTGTATGATTTCATTTACATGAAGCTTGAGAAGAGAGACAACTAACCTATGGTGAAAAAATCAGAACAGTGATTACCACCAGGGTAGGGCTGGAGACTAAGTAGGAAAGAACACATGGAAACTTTCTGAGGTAATATTTTATATTTTTGAAGGGGTTTGGGTTATAAAAATATATATGCATTTGTCAGAAATGCATCAAATATGCAGGATGTGGTGGCTCACAACTGTAATCTCAACACTTTGGGAGGCTAAGATGGGAGGATCACTTGAGCCCAGGAATTTGGGGTTACAGTGAGCAGTGATTCCACCACTGCACTCCAGCTTTAGGAAACAGAATAAGACCCCCCCCTCTCTAAAAATACAAAAGGGAAAAGAAATACCTCAAATGATACACAAGATTTTTGCAGTTCACTCGAATATAAATTCATTGTATATATATTTTCCTTAAAAAAAAAAACCCATAAACTAATACACTCTAGTCAATGATATGCATGCACACACTGAAGCCTTTAGGGGCAAATATTCTGATACCTGTAACTTATTTTGAAATGCATGATAAAGCAAATACAGCCGAATATTAATTGTTGAACCTAGATGGTGAATATGTAAGTGTTCATGATACAATTCATTCAACTTTTGTATGCATTTTAAATTCTTCGAAACATTGGAGAGTGAGTGTCAATAGTACTTTCTGGGTGAGCTGAATTAACAGCAGTAAGAGAAGAAGAGAGCACACAGGCAGCAGGAATAGCACCATTTGGGGATGGGTTAATAGGTAATAGGGAGAAGGTACACTGCTTGGGACACAGAGTGATAACAGCCATGTCTGCCTGGAAATTCACTGGCCAGGGAGAGATACACTCATTTCTTCCAGCCTCTACTTATACCTTCACATTTACCACCTTTTACTAAAAGCCAGCTAGCAAGTCCAGCTTTCAAGATTCTAACGGACATAGGTTAGAAAGAATGATTTTGGCAGACAGAGAAAAGATACTTAATTTACTTCTAGCTGAATAATATTCTGCCTCCCTAGTGTTATTTCATTTATTTGTATAGAATTATTTTTGGTTAATAAAGTAATAAACAGGATTAAAAAAAAAAAACAGATAGTATGAAAGGTTAACAACTGCAAAAGTGAGTCTTTCTCGAAACCCCTAGCCAAGATTCTCTCCTTCTCTAGAGGCAACTATGTATTCACTGTAGATAAGCATATATGCATGTTGCCCAGGCTGGTCACCAACACCCGGCCTCAAGCAATCCTCCTGCCTTGGCCTCCCAAAGTGCTGGCATTACAGGCATGAGTCACCACACGTGGCCAACTGAATACTATTTTTAAATGATATAGAACAGGCATCCCCAAACTTTTTACACAGGGGGCCAGTTCACTGTCCCTCAGACCGTTGGAGGGCCGCCACATACTGTGCTCCTCTCACTGACCACCAATGAAAGAGGTGCCCCTTCCTGAAGTGCCGCGGGGGGTGGGGGGGCAGATAAATGGCCTCAGGGGGCCGCATGTGGCCTGCGAGCCGTAGATTGGGGACGCCTGATATAGAATGTTATAAATCTCTCTGGATCATGATTCCAATTATAATTTATTTAACCAACATTTAATGTGGTGCTTACAATATGTCAGGCACTGTTTTCATTTGCCCAATACCACCTTACCTTATGCATATCAATAAGTGTTGATAAAGAGCAATTTTATATATATATACACATATATATGTATATATATACATATATACATATATACATATATATGTATATATATACATTTTTTTTTTTTTAGACAGAGTCTCATTCTGTCACCCAGGCTGGAGTTTAGTAGCACAATTTCAGCTCCCTGAAACCTCTGCCTAGTGATTCTCTGCCTCAGCCTCTGAAGTAGCTGGGACTATAGGCGCCTGCCAACACGCCCAGCTAATTTTTTGTATTTTTAGTAGAGACTAGGTTTCATTATGTTGGCCGGGCTGGTCTTGAACTCCTGACCTTGTGATCTGCCTGCCTCAGCCTCCCAAAGTGGTGGGAATTATATTTCTAATAAGTGCATTCCTAGGAAGTATATTCTGTTCAATCGGAAATAAGCAATAAGCAACTGTCTTTGATTTTAAAAAAAGAAAGCAAAAAATGGCCCAAACCGATATGAATTTAAGATATAACAAACAGAAAACTGTAAACCAAGGAAAGAAATCACTTTAGTAAGTGCTATTAGGTTTGTAAAGCACGTTCCTGACTTTATTAAAAGGAAAAGAGAGAGGGAATAAGAATATGCATGGCTAGAAAGAACACTGAAAGGATAAAATAAAACACCCATAGTTAACGTGGATAGCCGACTTTGAGTGTTTCTATTTTCTCCTTTATACTTTTACATATTTTCTAATTTTTCTTCTTTTCAAATTTTTTAATTTCAATAGCTTTAGGGGTACAAGGGATTTTTGGTTACATGGATGAGTTGTATAATGGTGAAGTCTGGACTTTTGGTATACCAGTCACCTGAACAGCGTACATTGTACACAATAGGTAATTTTTCATCACTCTGCCTGCTCCCATCTTCCTCCCTTCTGAGTCTCCAATGTCTATTACATCACTCTGTATGCCTGTGTGTACCCATGGCTTAGCTCCCACTTATAAGTGAGAACATGCAGTATTTGGTTTTCACTCCTGCATTACTTCATTTAGGATAATGGCCTCCAATTCCATCCAAGTTGCTGCAAAAGACATTATTTCATTCCTTTTTACAGCTGAGTAATATTCAAATACTCATTAAAATAGTAATAATAAATGCTGTTGATAACTGAATATCAATAGAGCAAAAAAGTGATTTAGACTGCCATCTCATACCACAATAAATTCCAAAAAACATGATTGTGAATTTAAAAACTTAACTAGAAGAAAATAAAACATATACATATTTCAATGAAGAGCAGAGATAATTTCCCAACTGAAATGGAATAGAAATTATTCTACTGAAACAACAGAAATGTATCAATTATAAAGTATTTGAGTTTAGTGCTATTAAATTTGAAATACTACATAAAGGGAAAAAAGATTAAAAGCAACACAGAGTAACAGAGTAGGGGAAAATTTTTAACTAACACTATAGATGTAAGTTTTATCTCTAAAACTTTTAGGGAGCTAATAAAAATCTATTGAGATAAAACCCTGTCTCCAATATCCTATTATCCATGTCTGACAGAGGATAAGGACAGTCACACAGTGTCTACTCATGGTAAAACACTAGAGGAAACATCCTACAAGAATAGTTTACAGGCATGTGCCTTAAAACAATTTTTAAAGTACTACCTCACATCTATTAAGCAGAAAAAACTGACACTAGCTTTAATCTGACAGAAGAGTGTGGATTTGGTTACATGTTGCTTATAGCACATTAAGCTGGTAGTCTTTCAGAAAGGAATTCTGTTAAGACAAAAGTCATTAAATGACAGCTTATGTTCTAGCATTTCTACTTTGAGCACTATATCCTGAGGAAATAATTCAAAAGAAAAAATTTTTACAAAGGTATTTATAGCTGCAGCTATATATTAGAGCTAAAATCTGGAAATAGCCCGAAGGTCTGTCTGTGGGGGAGAATAGTATACCAATGCAATGGAATATACTGCCACTAGAAATGACAAATGAGAGGGCTGCAAAACATTCTGGCAACAACTATAGCAAGTAATGATATTTTAAAAACTAAGTTAAATTTATAAAGGTAGAGGTGGGGAGACACTACATAAAATTATGTCTCCATAAATAACAGGTCTAGGCCAAGCACTGTGGCTCATCACTGTAATCCCAGTACTTTGGGAGGCCAAAGTAGGTGGATCACCTGAGGTTAAAAGTTCAAGGCCGGGCGCGGTGGCTCAAGCCTGTAATCCCAGCATTTTGGGAGGCCAAGGTGAGTGGATCACGAGGTCAAGAAATCGAGACCATTCTGGTCAACATGGTGAAACCCCGTCTCTACTAAAAATACAAAAAATTAGCTGGGCATGGTGGCACGTGCCTGTAATCCCAGCTACTCAGAAGGCTGAGACAGGAGAATTGCCT